GACTGCTGCTGCTTCAGAGTAATTCCAGTCCTTTCCCGCACAGCTAGCGCTTGCCTTTATTGACCACTCGTTTCCTCCCAGCACCGGTGGCCGTCGGTAAGATGAACTTTCATGCTCAAGCCTTGCCGTCATCACATCCTAAAGCCAATTCGCATCCCATGCTTGTTTCCCCTCCTCGCCAAACGGTTCCGATTTTAAAGGGTCTAGTCCTTGGGATTCGGCGTGACAGCACAAGTAGCAAACCCAGTGTTACTCCAGAGCAAGCTTGTTAATTGGGAATGAGCTACAGAGTGGGAGCAGTTTTCCCAAAGCAGACTCCGCTCTGGGCAGTGGCGCTGCCTGGGCACCACCGGCAAACCCGTGGGGGCAGAACCCATGGAAGTGGTTTCATCTCCATGGGTTTCCATGACTGTTTTGTTTTTGGTTTGGTTTTTTTTTTTTTAAAGAACATGAAAATAAACCTTTATTTCAGTTAACACCCACCAATATTAAAGATATATGTTCACAGTTTTAGTTCTTGACAGAAATGGACTGAAAGAGGCAAATTTACATCTATTGGAACAGCAGACGGACCAAGTGCGAGTACAAGCTCTCTTGGAAGTCGGACGTGGTGTGCCGTTCGGGAAACTGCCCTACACCTTTAAGGGGGAGAAGGGAAAGCTCCTGCCCACATCTGGCTAGCAGGGCCCTGGCCAACTGGCCGGCTGGCCCAAGCAGCTGGAAAGAAAGCCGAGTGACAACTCAAACAGCACATAGTTTGGGTAAGGGGAGGAAGGTTTCTGTTAGAGAAAGCTTTTCCGTGTGTTTCTGCTCATCAAGGCGTTTAACTGTATTAGCTAAGGTGTCCCTAAACTGCAATGTACTCTACCAAACCACAACAGGAGAGGGAAGAGGAGGAACTCGGTGCTGGACCGGCAAGAGCCGCCACGCCGAGCGCCTGCGCACGGTCAGCTGAGTCAGGAGAAAGGAACCAAGAGGTTTTAGCATCCAGAGCTGGAAAACGTGCCTCCTTCTCACCGCCAGGAACTTTAATACGAAAGGTGAGCGCACCAGAACATGAATCGAATGAATCGAATTCGAGCGCACCGAATCCCACGACATGAACAGTGGTTTACAGCAGAGATGTTTGTAGACAACCGCTGGGAGAAAGCAAGCTGGCTCAACACCAGTTACAGAGCTGGGTACTTCGTGTTCAAAGGTCTCCAGTACTTTTTGCCCGTCCTGTACAGCTTTTAAAAAAATAGGGCATTACCTTTTGTTTTCTATCTACCTCGTTAAGAAACTACAAATACGTTATACGCTGTCCAAAGTGTAAAGCATCAAATAAAACGAGAAACCTGTTTCTGGTCTCCTGACAAATGGTGCAGATAAAACCCCTAGGAAAGCCTCTCTGGGAGTCCTCCTCCCACCTCCTTCCGTGTACTGAAGCGGCAACGTTCCTGTTCTCAGGGGTTCAAGCACACCTACAGAGAATTCCTGCGGCGGCAGGGAGGGGTCCTTACAATCGCCCTCTGAGAAACATTCATCTGTCAGCTAGCGAGCAGATCGAGCGCCGCACAAACCCAGCACAGAAATTGGACAGAGGTTAGTGTCAGGGATCGCTTTTGCCTCTTTTTGTCGCAGCGCGCACGCAGGCTGCGACGTACCCATCTGAAACAGTGAGAAACTCCCTCCTGCCAGACCCGGCCAAGGCCTGCAGCGTCTTCTGAAGACGGAGCGGCACGGGGAGCACAGCGGGTGCCGACGTAATCGTGGCAGCGCACCGTGCCGCGCTTTTCCAAGCCCCAGCCGGAGTCCAGACGGACTACCGGAGCAACAGCTACCACCTTGCCCACCTCCAACAAAAGCAAAGGTTGCTCCACCATGCAGGGTACCCCTCCTCCAAGAAAAAGCCTGAGTAATTTAAAAACTTCACCACCCCCTCCCTTTTTTGCCAACAAAGCATCTCATTCTGTTGAAGGGAGGAGGGAATAAGGGTAAAAAGCATAATACATTAGTTTTAAAAAACTGTTTAGACCAATTATCCACACGTCGTTGCTGGATCAATACACAGGTATTTAACCATCAACCAATGTGCTTTGCACCTTTTTCAAGTATCTGGTATCAATTCTGTATAAAGAGTTTGTGCAAATAAACTACCAAACGGATGAAAAATGACCGTTTTCCCAAGTCTGAACCGAAGCGCTAAAACTAAAGTACTCCAGGAGTTAGCATTCCATACAGCGCTAACACTCCACCAAATTAAAAATTTCCACATTCCAGAAGACCATGGGCTGATAAAAGTCTGCTAAGGAGGAATTAAGGAAACGGAAATAGTGTGCAATAATTAAAACCCAGTTTAGAGTTTGGGGAAAATGTCTAAAATCCTGAATTTAAAAAAAAAAACAACAAAACCAAAACACAAATGAAGTGAAAGCTTTGAACTGGTACACACTGTTCACACCTATATTTCAAGTTTGGAAACGCATATTTTCAAGCAGCAATACAAAAAAGTATCCATGAAGAATGCATAATCTCTGAAAAAATTATGAAAACATCCCTGCTACCATTACATTTCTAAATACAAAACTGACTACCATATTGTTGCTTCTGTGTAGCGAGAGAAGTTCATTTTCAAAACAGATAAAATTCAGTCTTTAGGTGTGAATGGTATGAATGACAGTCTCCTCTTTTTTTTTTTTTGCCTTGTTTTTTTAAATTTCTTAGTTGTTTAGGATCCTTAAGCATGCAAGCCTCGGAGAGGAAGGCCCCGACGAGGGCAGGGTTGGCTTATGACATCCAGTTTAGGACAGAGCTGGGAAAGCCTCTGGGTCATCTACATCAGGAGCAGAAGCACTTGACTGAAAGAGAAACATCAGAAAGTTATTACCATCAGCGCCATCGAGCCCCTTCTTGTTCTCTTCTAATTCTTTTTACCCCCTTTCTGATTCTTCACCTATTCCAAGTCCCTCCTCTCACCCGGCAAACAGGCCCACGGCACCGCCGAGCCGGGGTGTTGGCACGGGGACAAGGTTAAGCCTCTGTCCCTGCGCAGGCGGCAGCTGCAGGAAGGGGCACTCCCTGCACCCCAGATAAGAATTATTCCTCCCCGTTTCTTAAAGCTGCTTTAGCCTGACCCCTACTCAAGAGGGAAATAGCGGGTTTCAGAGAGGTACACGCTACAGGGGAGCGGGAATTCTAGTGCTGAACAAGTTGCTACAACAGCAACATTCCCCCCACAACAAGCAGCGTTTCCAAGGACTGGGAAGTCCCCTGTGCGACGTTTTCAATCGAAGCTGTCTGCAGGGACAGCACAGGTGACCAGGCCGCCTGTGCACGTGGTATGGCACAAGGTTACATCTCTCTCTCCACGCTGCGACTCCTGAATGTAGGCTCACGCTGTTCTACCGGTGCACAGCCGCCAATTCTCACTGAGGGAACTGTAACTGTTACAGGAAAGACCCCTTTCTAGCACAAATTAAGTTTCAGACATTTAACTTTTCCCAGTCACGAACTAGCTGTCGATAAAGTGAATTTTTGTGCCAACCCAGCCCTAGAAATTCATACACATTAGCCAAGAATCCCCTCAGAACCTCCCCAACAGTGTTACTTCTTTTTTTTCCCCAAGGTTCTGTACCACACCTGGAAAAGTGCTACAATGAAAGGCAGAAATTAGGTATTTTAGAATACTCCCTTGAGGAATGTGGAAGAGAAGGGTAGGAAGAGCCAAGATAGTTGAATTCCTATAAATATATTAATTTATCAAGATAAACATAGTGAAACCACTCCAATAAATGTTGTATTAACCTCTACTGGCAAGACTCAGACACTGCAAGAAGGACCCAGCCCACAAACTAGAGTTAAAAAGCAAGAGCAGGGTCTTCAGCCTGTAGCTACAGCTGTGGTATCTCCAGCTGCTCATCACACACAAACAGCAAGCCAGAAAAGCCAATGCACTGCAGGAGGGAGTCAGGGTCCCTGCAACAGGAGGGCCTTGTTCCCAGGTAACGCAGCGCCAGAGATCACCAACCTGGTTGGGTGTGTGGATCACGTCAAACTCCTTAACCAACTGGAAGGAAATAAAAGAGAGTTAACATCAAACAAGCTGCAGATTGCAAAGATTTAACTACTTTATGACAGAATTCTTGAAGAAGCAAGATGCTGTATTAATGAAGTAACTCGGAGCAAACATTTGGTATCAACTCCTAACAATTTTCTTATACTGTTATCAGAGAGTTTTCCAATTAATAAGCCTAAAACTTAAAAACGATATGGTGTAAAAGAGAAAAAGTCAGCATCCTGCACAGGACAAAAAAAAGCAAGTCTGGTCTATGTAAGGAAAGGCACAGTGCACAGACTGAACCCACTTTCTAGTGAGTAACAGTTTGATTAGATGTATTTAAGCCGAATAAATGACTTATGTTAAATCAAATCTTTACTGTAGCTGTGCTAGGGTGCTTCAGCTTTACACGTTCTCTCCCCAGCCCCATTCCGTACTCAGTCCTGAGTATTTCCTTAGGGGTTTAGGACTAGAGGAGGAAAAATTACTGTATGTAAGGAAAAAAAGCAGTTAGAGTCCTATTTGCTCATGAGAACTCGAAATTTCTCAGATTCAAGACATAACATGCAGCTGTAAAACCAGTCTTTCACTCCCCACAGGTCACAACGCAGATACACCCTCCTGTGTCTGACAGTAACTGCTCTAACACCTGGGGTGCAGCTCCAGCACAAACAGAAGCAGCTCAGAGTACGTTTGGACCTGTCCATACATACTGAAGAGTCTTTTTCTAGGGGTGTTTAGGTAGAACCTTCCAAGAATGACACTTTTTTTAATCCAATCTACTCCCCACCCTTTTTGTGTGTGTGTTTAAGAACACTGCTAAAACATTCATCCTTTTGTGCTAACAATAACCAAGTTTACTTTCAACTTGTAAGAACAGACGCTTGGCATTGGTTGTCAGATCAACACCTCCAGAAAACTCAGACACTTAAAACTACCTGTGCGCAACCCTAACACCAACTGAAACTGAACTGCCCTGGGGGTGCGAGCTGCAGCTCCTTACCTTGTCAGTTCTGCCTCCACGGCTGGCCCTGCCACCACGTCCTCGGCCACCCCGTCCCCCTCTGCCGCCACGTCCGGGGCGGCCGAGGTCTCCAAAGTTGATCTCCAGCTGGGATGTGATATCGTTTGCCGGCTTGCGGAAGTGATGATCCATTACCGAGTCCTCAGCATGAGCCTGCAATGAGTGTTTCTCCGTGACTAAGAGATCACCGCAGCAACTTTTCCACCTGCAGTCGCACTCTTACCACCAGAGCACGCCTGCTCGCCTCCAAACGCGCTCCCAAACGGATGATTGATTACTTTGACTCAAGTTAAAAGCACAGGAATCGTTAGGAATCAAGTTATACCACTTTGTGCACGTGACAAAACCACATCTAGGTAATCAAACAAGTGCTTGAGCAAAAGTATTTTGCATTTCCAAGATAATTTGGGGAAGCTCTGAAGTTCCTTCAAAGGAACATGTTCAGGCTTCTCCAAGACCAAACCATCAGCGAGCCAGTACAGCATTCTAGCATTTGTCATCTTCCCACTCCATATCCTGAGAAGTCTGCCAGTTCTATCAACTTGTTCCATTATTTTCAAATACTTACTCAGTAACCCATTTTATTTTGCTTTACACTTGTAAAGGAGTACTTTACACTTTCTCAATTGCTTAGCCCTGTCTAAATTAAAACAAGGAAAAAAATCCCTTATCAGTTTTAGCCATAACAGACGGCAAACGAGGCGCAAACCTTCTGAACACAACGTAACTGAAGTAGCTAAAACATTAATGCTAAACCAGAACCAATCTCACCCACTACACTGAAAAACATGACTCCCGCCCTTTGTACAACACTCTCTTACAGCTGATGGGTTCCCAGTGAGCAACCCGAGCTTTAAAGAGCAAGGTATGCGCACAAGACATACATCTAACACCACAAAATGCCACTATTCAGCCCATTTGAGTATTTCAAGTTATTACACGCTGAACACAAAGAACCAAGTGTTGTTAAATTCATTATTTTTCCTATTTTGCCCAAATAATTTTTCCAAGTAGCAAGTCAGGTGTCGGCACCTGACGACACACCCAACGAAGAGCTGACCACACTGGATCAGACCAAGGGTTTACCCACCCCAGCACTCTGCCTCTTATGAGGTCCAGTCGTCACGTTTTGGTTAACGTGACAACACTCAACTCCTCCTTTTCCTGCAACCACCTAATTTCTGGCACGGCAATTTTCAGCTTGCTTGTATTTTCCTACTGGAGCGCCACGTGCAAGCTTAAGCCTACTGACTCTAACTCTTCTTGTGCTGTAATTACACAATATGCTGACCTTCAAAGGCAACATGTTGTGCAATTAAGCCCTGTACCCTTTAATTACTGTTTGTGGGTCCTTCGTAAGGCAGCAGGTCTGCAGCCCAAAGGCTGCAAGCTGCTTTCAGGGATTCCTGGAGTCGGTCTATACAGAGCCACAGAGCCTTCTCCCCCACCAATCTCACAGCCTCTTCCCATGCCCAGTGGTAGTCTGCCCTCCACGGCATCCTGCAGTGGAGGGCTCTGCAATTTAATTAAGCACAATGAGAAACACCTCTCCATGCTGCTTTATTTCAGACACATTTCCTTGGGATGTACTCCATGTAACAACTGGTCTCCATCCAACTCCTGATTTTGTAATTTGAACTGTACACCCTTCCCCCAGAGAGCTCTTTTCCCAGACTTGGAAAGTTAGCCTAGGCAGTTGTTTTTCAGAGAAAAGTCAGTCCCCCTCCCCGCCTGACATGGCGCTTCTCAAACGGAAGGACACCAACGATTTGTAAAAGAGTACGCAATACCCTTTGTTACGGTTCTGATCCTTTCCTACTACTACGTATTTTATCTACAGTTTCAATCGCTGCTGGGTACTGGGATGATAATTCCAAATTACTCGTAGTTGTCCAGGCATTCTCTTTTCTGGGAGGTAGTATCAGGCTTTGAACGATAATTCTGTGTTTTTCCTTCCCTACGCAGTTATGGCGTAAAAAAGAAACACCACAGTCTACCAAAGACACTGTATTTCACAACTTAACTGACATGACCCTGATGATTTCTTTATCCAAAATAACTAAAGCTACTTTAAAACACCAGGAAGACTTGGCACATTCTCCTCATACCCTTCTACCACTTAGATGACAACAGGCAAAGACATACCACACAAATTGCTTGTTTTGAATCATCTCTGGAAGCATTTAGTTTATATGTATTGGCAACTCCCAACAGTGCTCTGTTCTAGAAACTGAGAGCTCCTGGAAGGCACTGCTGCACTTACGGGTCTTGGGAAGGCTGTCAAAAATTAGGAACAAGCTGCTAGCAGAAAGGGGGCCAAAGCAGACAGCGAGATATGGAAAAACAACAGCCACAACAAAAAAAAAAACCAAAACAAACACTCATGATAGAAGCATTTATGGTAAGGGTTGAGTTCAGCTCAATTAGGAACAAGGGTACTAATTACGAAGGGTCCTATATGGTGCACACTTAGACAACAGGCATGGACAGAAGAGCTCCGTATCGTATCTACTTGTACTCTCTGGTTTTGTGACTTCAGTATCCAGCCCTTCATTCCTGAAGGGGCTCATATCAAAACACAGCTATCACCAGTTAGATAGAAAGGATCAGTACCTCATTTGACTCCAGCAGACTCCCCTGCATTTCTGTCATCGCCTTTGTCTGATGAAAGTTGCGTGTCCACGCCAAAGTGACAAAAGGAACAAAGGGAGAAAACAAAAGGAAGAAATGAGACTCAACTACATACAGAAACAACAGGTAATAAGGTCACGTGAACTTGCTGGACACAGATGTCACCGAGCACATGAAGCAGCAAAAGGATGAGATCAACAGCTGTGCGAGCGTCCAGAAAGAGGAGAGGATGGACCATACCACAGGCGTGGAGACAAGAGGATCGCAGATACCAAACAAAGGCTGCTGGAAGCTCTAGCAGACACCAGGCATGCAGGCTGATCTCCAGCAGCCAGGCACGCTGCGTACACAGCTAGACTGATAAGAGGGTGGGATGTTTGAAATTACCATTAATGACAAAAGGTCATTAACGGCACAGCCTTGATTCAAGAGTCATTCCACCAAAATTTGAGAAGATGAACTATTATTTTCCAAAACATATTTCTCAGTCATCCACTGTAACCTCCCCTAAGGGAGGGGTCAGATCAGCAAGGAAGTCAGAAGGCACAGGGAAGAGGCACGGCACAGCAGATACACGGAGCAGGAACTATCTACTGGTGTATCCATCTTTCCAGGAGACTTGCATCCAACTTTCTGAACAAATTAAGATCTCTCCACATGTAACTCCTCCCCATTTTTTATTCAGCTGCACCAGCAGAACTTAAAAAGAATCAAGCCACTAAGCCAGCCTGCGGAGTATGAAAAAAGAGAATCTCTTATGGCATAACCAAATCTCCTGAAAAGTCTCATCAGATGAGGGCTGCCAATACACATGGATTTCACATTAAACCAGCAAGAATCTGGGACAGTAGTAAGAGTCTGTTTTCTACAAACCATCCCTTTCTAGCAACTGCACAGCAAATGTGAAAAAGAAAAGACCTCAGAGAGGGTCAAGCATTTCAGCCCTCCGTGAAGAGCGCAAGCAGGAGGAGGACAACTCTTTCACAAGACTACGGCAGATGAACAGTACTACAGCCTCCCTTTTCCCACAGACTCCTAGGACGTTCTCCTAGTAATTCCCAACTACAGGAACGAAGGTGGTTATCACAGTGATTCCTGAGCAAATCTACTGGAGTATGTGGTGATTTTTCAGCTACACAAGTAGAGAAGATCTGGAGCCACAACCCAGAATTTACCTATAAACCAAGTCTCACCCACACATCACTGCCCTTCTTACGAGTAAGAATCACAGAACCCTCACATCAGCCTTGATTTCATGACTCCCAAGTATGTCCAAGAGGACAAACAGAAAAAGAACAGCAGGCGACTGGTAGGTTCGTAACTTCTAAGTATCCCACCTTCCAAACCGGCTCACAAAGGGGCCGCAGCAAAGGCTTTCCTAAGGCCTGTATTACAGGGATGTTCGGCAAGAATACTTCACACACACACACCCCCCATGCTGCTTCCCATGGGATCAGCGGACAGTGCTGATGAACATGACATGCTGATGTACATGAAATGGGGACACATCTGCTGGACATACAATAAAAGCGGGCTGAAGGCACCTACATTTAAAGGCAGTTTTGCTGGTATTTCACTTCCCTGCTTACACAGCAAGGAGCTGTTACCGTCTTATGTGACAGCATTGAAAACATCTGCCTCATTTCTTTGAGGAGAAGTTGACTGAATACACCTCTCAAAACAATCTACTAATTGCATCAGTTCTTCCACAAAAATAATCTGATTAGTCGTACTGTCATACATGCAGGTAGAGACTGTCTTCAGCTGACTAAATGTCAAATAAATCAGCTTTGGAGATTGGGGCTGAGGGAACTTGAAGGACTACAGGTTTGGTAAATCTTGGTAAAGTACACAGATACTTCTGCCTAAATATACCCTGTTAGTCTACAGCAACATTAAGTCTATTAACCCAATTTCCCTTTTCTAGGCAAGCCAGAAAAAGCAGTATTTAACAAACACTTCAAACACTAAACTGCTTAAGGTAAACAAAATAATACACAATCATTTAAAGAACTACCTTCACAGCAAGAAAATAGCATGATTGTCACAAAGTCAAACTCATTAGGAGTTCAATGAGCTCAGAAATAAGAGTTTTCGTTGGAAAGTACTGAACAACAGTGCCTACCCATCTGTATTATGCTCCCAGTTTATAAAACAACTCTGACAAGGTGTGAAAAAGCAGCAATGCGTATTAGAAGAAAGCCAGCATACTACACACTATTTAGTTACTTCAAGTAGTAAGGGTACTCCAAGGGAGGCAGAACCATCTGTATACACTGTTGCAGTCCACCAATTAGCAGCGGGTCACTTCAGATATTCCAGTGTTAAAACCAAAGATTAATGCAGCCCTGCATTAGAAACCAGAGCTCTCAGCACTTCCCTTCCTTCTGAACCAAGTCTGTCTCTCCTCACCACTCTCAGCATCTTGGAAGAGAGTCATTAAAATTTGGCAATGACTGAAATGAGTATGCTTGAGAAACTACAATTTTAAAATAGTTGTACAGCAACTACGTTGAGTATCACTGAAGAATACAAATACATTTCACCTCCTGTCTCAAACACTTCGAGGACACTTGTCTGTACAACATCACAAACCAACAAAATACCCACGTTACAAACTTCAGATACAGTTTAGGCATTAAGGTGTCTGAGGCACCACCAGTTTTCTTCAATCATACACAGTGTTCAGCACGCACCAGAAACCTGTGTACTGCATAAAAAGCAAAGAAATAAATTTGGTATTGCAAGCCTTGTCTCAAGTGCTCACCAAGAGACAGTCCTACGAAGTGACCTGCTCAGGCGCAGCAGCATTCCCATCTCAGCTCTAGGCTGTATCACAGTACGCACCAACCGAAGGGTAGGGGTTGACCGCTACACCAACCCCAGTGAGAGTGGCTACCGGTGCTACCGTGTGACGTCCGTTTTCTTAACGGAAATGTTGTCCCCATGGCATAAGCTTTTAGCTACAGGTCAGCGCCACAGAGTGGAGCTTCCACTCCAACAAGTGCATATCAACAGCGAAACCTGTACAGTCTGGATACTAGCAAATACGGAAAATCACTTTACCTCCTCGCTCTTTGACTTGTGAAGAACAAATCCTTTTTTCCATTGCCCATCAGCACCCTCATTTGGTTTACGGATGTTGAACTCGACTTTTGCACGATCCTTACTTTGAATAGCTTTCCACTCGTCCAGGGTCATTTCCTTAGGACCTTCTTCCTTAACTTCTTCAACCTCATTCTCTCTGTAGTAAATTCAGGAATATGATCAGGACTCAGAACTCACTTTCTAGATACAAACTGAAAATCAGTCACTAATAAGCACCAGACTATTAAAAAGTTTGTCAAGTATTTAGCAGTTAATAGGTGTATATAAAACCCCATCACTTCCAGCACACATGGAAACTCCGCTCCTTTAGCCAGAACACAAAAAAAACCCCCCACAGACAGACACCCTTCAGCAAGTAAATAGTGAGGACAGCAAAATGTTAAAATTTGCACTGACCCATGCTGCCTATTCTCTACATTTATGACAATTTTCTTTAGAAACACAAAAGCCTAACTTCTGCAATGGACTTGTTTGTAGCCTTCCTCCCCTTCTGGAGGTACCTGTCTCCTAAAGGTTCAAGTTAGAATCACAGAATGGTTTGGGTTGGAAGGGACCTTAAAGATCATCTAGTTCCAACCCCCTGCCATGGGCAGGGACACCTTCCACTAGACCAGGTTGCTCCAAGCCTCATCCAGCCTGGCCTTGGACACTTCCCGGGATGGGGCATCCACAGCTTCTCTGGGCAACCTGTCCCAGTGCCTCCCCACCCTCTCCAGGAAGATTCCTTCCTGATATCCAATCTAAACCTCCCCACTTTCAATTTAAACCCGTTACCCCTTGTCCTGTCACTACAGGCCCTTGTAAAAAGTCCCCCGCAGCTTCCTTGTAGCCCCTTCAGGCACTGGAAGGCTGCAATAAGGTCTCCCCGGAGCCTTCCCTTCTCCAGGCTGAACAAGCCACAACTCCCTCAGCCTGTCCCCATAGCAGAGGTGCTCCAGCCCTCGGAGCATCTCCATGCCCTCCTCTGGACTCACTCCAAGTGGTCTATATCCTTCTGATGCTGAGGGCTCCACAGCTGGATGCAGCACTCCAGGTGGGGTCTCACCAGAGCAGAGCACAGGGGCAGAATCCCCTCCCTCGACCTGCTGGCCACACTTCTCTGGATACAGCCCAGGATATGGTTGGCTTTCAACCAACTTCTGAAGTTAAGGCAGTGAGAGAGTGCTTACCACAGTTTTCAAGCTTCTTAGTTTTTTTAACCACAGAATTTAATCAGCTTTGGATAATCTGTGTCTTTTGTTGTACCAAAGGCAATTATTAATTTCATAGCTAACAAACAATTTTTACTTTCAGCTAATTTGAAAAGCCAGCAGCACGATACATCACCTCGCTGTCAATCTTTGGTTCCCCTACCTTCTGCCAAAGGGCTATTTTTAAGCAGAAGACACAACCACTGTGCTCCATACCAGATCATGTTCCAACTACACGGGCAGTCAATCCTTTCACCTCTTCATTCTTCAGTGTGTTTATGCAACTACACATCTGATTTACAGAAAACCAGTGCCATGTATGTGCCACACAACAACCAAAAAAGCCTCAAGTTTAGAGACAAGGCCTTCGCTTTGTAGCCATTCATTTTGCTGTAATAATGTAGAGGTTTTACATCAACATTACTGTATTTAATTTTTTCCTCACTCTGGAGACAGAACGATTTTTGACATGGTATATATTCAGAAGCTTTTTTTTTGTTCAAGGCAAAGATACTGCCCTCTTGGCACATTTTACTGCCGTAAAACATCCTACAGTTCTGCTGAAAAATTTGGGTTAGAGATCCACAGAAAACCAACCCATGTAAAGATGCTGTTCTATAAAGATAACCAATGGATTACAACAGCTGGGTCATGCTTGACCCTGAGAAGAGCACACGTTTTCTGCAGAACTGAGAAAGAAAACACATACAAACACCAGCAGAATTTTCAGGTAAGTGATCAGCACACAGGTGGGTCAGCACCTGGCCAGGCACTAGGACACTGCTACTAATAAAGATCCAGGAAACACTGTAGATACAGCAAATTTCATATACCCAGATTTCCAATACATATAATTATTTCAAGGACTAGCTAGCTTGCATTTTTGGACCAATGTTCCAGCTGTAATGCCTTAAAAAAGTCTAACACTACTTCTTTCTGCATACAAGACAACCTTAAGCTTGGACCAGTAATGGCATTTTATTCTTTTAGTTAAACTAATTCAATTTCTCATTCTCTACACAGTGATTGTGCCCTCTTTACTGCTAACCAAAGTTATTAATGAGGCAATCAAGCTATAGCAAACTCCACATTAAAAATCTCAGGCAAACATTTCAAAATTCTATCTTATCTGTTTGCCATTTTGTTTTGAATTTCCCATACAGCACATTCCTCGTTAAAACAGAGCATTTTATTGTGCTATGTCACCACAGAAAGTTGTGTCACGTTTTTACATCAACTGTATCACTACTGCTCATTCTGCTTCTCTAGTAACTCTGACACTCAGCCAGCCACCGCTTTCTGCTGTAACACCAGCCTAGTGAAACAGTAAGCAGTCAAGTTAACTTCTCTGAAAACTGTCTGCACACAGAGAAGCTGAAGAATGGAAGAGAGAAAAACCCTTTCTTCTACAGGATAATCAGTCTCAACAGTTGTTCTGAAAAAACAGGTTTAAGAAATTTGCCTCCTACAGATTCAGAGTGGTTGGGGTTGGAAGGGACCCCTAGAGATCCCCTAGTCCAACCCCCCTGCCAGAGCAGATCACACAGGACCACGTCCAGGCGGCTTTGGAAAGTCTCCGGGGAGGGAGACTCTCCCACCTCTCTGGGCAGCCTGTTCCGTGCTCTGTCACCCTCAGAGTGAAGAAGGGTTACCTCATGGTCAGGCTGAACCTTCTGTTTTCCCGTTTATGGCCACTGCCCCTCGTCCTGTCACTGGACACCCCTGAGAAGAGCCTGAGCCTGGCCCCACCCTCCTGACACCCACCCTTTAGATACTGGTAAGCATTGATAAAGATCCCCCCTCAGCCTCCTCTTCTCCAAGCTGAACAGCCCCAGCTCTCCCAGCCTTTCCTCATGTGGAAGGTGCTCCAGGCCCTTCATCCTCGTAGTGGCCCTGCGCTGGCCCCTCTCCAGTAGCTCCTTGTCCTTCTTGAGCTGAGGAGCCCAGAACTGGACACAGCACTCCAGGGAAGGCCTCACCAGCGCTTGTGCTGGTGGTTCTGCCCAGTTATGAGCACTGATGCTTTTGGATTTGGTACTTAGGAGTCACAATCCCCAGACCTTAAGCGTATTAGAAGTGATTATTAATAACTAAATCTGAAAGCGACCTAAGAGCCCGTACGACACTAGAACAGCTTCAAGTTAGCCATTTTTAAACATGCAGTTTTTAAAGAGACAGTCTTTCAGCAGCACTGTGGATTAATTCCATATCTACTGAATAAAGCACAATCAGTTTGGCAAAACAGAAGTAGCAATAAATATCAGAGGTTGAAGTCGCAGTAATACTACAGCAATCACAGAACACTGAGAGGGATGGTACTCACTTATTTTCAGAATCAGCAGGCGGATGTTCCTCTCCCTCTGGCGTTTCCTCAGTTACAGCCGACTGATCCAATTCACTGCAATTACATAATGTTTGGAGTTGGTTTTTTTTTTTTTTAAGAGTTCATCCCTACTTAAAGCTACAGAAGATTAATGACTGAAGTCTACAGTGGATTTAGGCAACCTACTCTTCTTTAAAAAACTACTTCAATTAAGTATTGGTGCTCTCTGTACCTGAGAGATGCTACGCTTCCCACCTTCCCCCAGTGGTTTTCCCCAAGGCTCCCTAGTACCCATCCTGAAAAGCCTCCCGCCATACCTTGGAGACACAAAACAGACCTGGCTATTAAAAATACTGTTTTCAATGTACTACTAGTAAAAAAGCACGTTTAACCTGATCAAAATTGTCAATTAAGTTGTTCTATTTTTAGCAAAACAATTGTTCAAAAACCAGCACAAGACTCTGCATATCCAACTTCCCCAATGCCCTGGTTTTAATACTGAAGCCGTCTCCCACGTTAAAAGATACGGCTAATTTCCTAAATTCTGCAGAGGCTGCTTTAATAGCATAGCAAAAATTATCAAAAATTAAAGGAAAAAAAGGCGGCTAAACGTTTGCATTTTGCAAGCCATAAGAACTAGTATTTATTAACATTCTGCTAGTAGTTTTCTGAGCAATTACAGATTACTAACGTTAGTTCATCTTTGACGGTTCCCCAGTTGTGTGATCCGCTGCCACCACGCTTGTCCTCGTGCTTTAGGCCGCTGAAATGTGAATGTGAAACAGAACTAACAAAACTGAGTTAACATTATAGTGTCCAGATACAGAAATTCAAAGGCAAATTGTAAAATATGTATTAATTGTAAAGAATTGCCAAAAAAACCCAACAACAGGAAAAGTTAAAGACTTACGATCTATCGCTGCCACTGTGTCTGTCAAATTCACGTTTGCCACGAGAGTCAAACCCATCTCCTCTGCCCATTCCACGGCCACGGCCACGTCCTCTTCCAAGTCCGCCACGTCCACGCATAGGTCGGTCAAGAATGGGTCTAGTATGGAACAGCCAAACTTGAGTATTTCACCTCCAAACGTTTACAGAACCGTTCTTAGCATTTTCTTTTTCCCTTCTGAGAATTTTATTTACTTACTTTCCCTTTGGTAATCAGTGTCTGCGACCCTGCCGAGGCTTACACTGAAAAAACCTACATGCGTAATGCCCACATTTTAGAATCTGGAAGCAAGTGTTCAGAAGGATTACCCTTTATTTGCATCCTCTGGGAATACCAACACGTGTTTGTACGGTGTTACATAACTAGCAGATACTACAATTTCAATTTAACACACGTTCATCCAACTTACTTTTTTTAAAGGATTCACCCTCTGGCCACTACAATTTTAATATCTGAACGCTACTTTCAGAACACGTGAATTCTGGATCCCTCGCGATACTCCAGACACCCAAACTTGCCTAGACTTCCCCCACTTCCAAGTCTGACGTCACTGCAGCCAAGGTATAAACACCTACAAGGACAAACTTTAACTGGCTCCAAGTCAGCGGCATGGATTTAAACAGCAGCTCTAACAGCACACGAACCGCATCCTGCAGGCAACAGCGGTATTCGAGCTCCTCTCCTGACCCATCTGCTATAGATTGAGAGATATGGTAGATACCTTAATGATTTAAGCCGTATTTTCAGTTAAACCAATGGAACTGTCCATGCCAGATCACTGACAGCCTAAAACTTGAGCCAAGTTTGTGAATATAATCAGGAAAAGGGCCATAGTCTGCATGACACATGCTCTTCTTGTGACTGACGAAAATTTAACTCAATCGGCTTAATTTTGATTCAATCATTATTTTCTTTTTTTTTTTTTAACTAAGTAACAGAAGCCTGGACATCCCCTCCCTATCAAAGCTGGAAAAGTCCTTCGTCGTAACAAAAAAATCCTTACTTATCAACAGAAAATTCTCCTCCTTCGCCTTTCTCATCAGCAGGTTTATCAAAGCGGCGCTCGCGGGGAGGTCGTCTCTCCGGTCTCCTGTCAATAGGCTTGCCTTCACCCTGCTGTTGCTGCTGCTGCTGCTGATCAGGCCTCCTGCCAATACGTCTTATCCCTGCAACGTTAGGCAGAACACATCAACGGAATGTCAAGCTGCTCCGGGAGAGATACTGACTCTAGCACCCTAAAACAGTGCTGAAGGTAAGCTCAAAATGAAGTTTTCCTTCTAGCCGTGCTGAGAAACGACACCTTTTTTATAGTCAGTGTAGATCATGACTCTTCTCATTCACATTTTTATGCAGCATTTAAACCAAACTGTATTCTGCACCAGTGTACACTTACAATACCGTAGGAAACAAAACCTGTCAGAGCACACAACACATTACTAAGCCGTGTTAAAATGACAGGGTCAGCTTTCAAAGAAGGATCAAGGCAAGCACGATTTCTTTCTTTCTTTTTTTCCTCTGAAAGGTGCTTTTCAGGTAACGCAAGTGCTTCTTACTTTGATGCACACCAAAGCGAAGTCAGCATCGCCATGCTGGACCCCAGTCTCTGTGACAGCCACCCTGCTCCATCCCACTGGGCTCTTGGAAACCTTTCGGCTGGCAGTACTCCCCAGGGCAGGGCGTGCACTCCCGTGAGGGCCACCCTTACCCCGACAGTGTCACCTGCATCCCACGGACGGGCAGCCCAGCACAGAGACACTGCTCAGTGACTGAACGACATGTTCATCCACACCAACCCTCCAGTACACGCTCCCTGACAAAGACGCACCTCGCTGTGCACTCACTTAAAATAGCTTAGGAATAGATCGTGCCAGCGAACTGGCGAGCCTTCTTCCCTCCCTCTGTGCCTCCTCAAAGTTTGCTTCAAATAATAACTCCCGATGGGCATTATCTTCCTCACTAAGACATCTGAGGGATCTTAAACACAGTGGGTTTTTCCACTCATGTGAGAGACTCATTTACTTGTCTTTGGAAAGATCTGGACAAACACATTACTCCTTTGTTATGCTATTTTCTTGCCAAAATGTTTCAGGAAAAAAAAACCCTAAACAAACTATCCAAGGTTGGCTTAAGAACTGTAAACTATCTTTTAAATTAAAAGCTGCCAATTTCTGATTTTTAAAAAAGAACTAAGTTCCTGCCTAACGAGCAATGTCATATTCGGGTGGGGCTAAAGGAGTTACAGTTGTAATGATATCCAAGCCAACACACCCAAATGAACAATGTCTCCCTTACCTTACAAGCTGTACTTAACACGAAGTTTGCATGACATACGTTGCTGGCTCAGTAATCCTTACTCCCTGAGGAAACACAGGGGTTAAACTCACTAGCCTCTCCTTGGAAAAGGGCCTCTCCAAGTGAGGAGGACCATGTCGTTTTAAGAGGTAAAGCTCAGCGAGGAGCCAGTGTAACACAGGAGGTATGCTGCAGAACTGGAACCAGTAATCCACGTCTTTTGAATTTCGAGTTCAACACCCTGCGCTCAGAAAAAAACCCGGTTCCTGGTGAAGCCTAACCAAAAAGACAAGTTATTTCTTTTTCTTAGCATCAAAGCTCTGAATTGGTAATTCACCAGTCAAATAATCCGCACCTTTAGAGCAGTGAAATAGTTTTAAACTGCAGTACATTCACACAGGGACAAACCCTGTCGGTAACGTGTCATCAAGCACCTTTATAGTAGTAGAACTACGTCCCCTGCAAAAAATAGACATTTCCAAACCGGAAAGTGACTTTGTTTACTCCAGCGCTCCATACACACTGCCACAAAAGCCGGCCTGACTCTTTCCTTACTATAATAAGTTACGAAAACACTTTTTTATAGCACAGTAGTGCTTGTTCTTGAAAGTGAATGCAAAAACTGGGAGGTAAACACGGACTGCCAGCCCTGCCAAAAACCCTCCGCCTTCTCTTGCGTCGGCCAAAGACACTGCCCGTTGTTTCAGGTTTACCTCGTGAGAGACAACACTGTAATTCCGTACCTAAGCAGCATTTCCAGGGGACACTGGCTTAGCAAACTGCCACTTGGGATAAATTATTGCCTTGCTTGCAAGGGACAAAAACCAACCTCTCCAGCTTTAAAGTACAAGAGATCCACAAGCAAAGAGCACTGGAACACAGCACCCAACTTCTGCTTCTCACAAGGGGTTTTCAAACAACGTTTGGGAGGCCCACTTTCCAAAACAGCTCTAATATCACCACCTTGTCTTTTTTAAGAAGCCTAAGAGGTGGCAGAGAACCATTCTGCAACACGCACTGCAGCAAACGCTACCGTATCGAGATGCTTTCATGCAGCACTGTGCTCTTCTGGTCTGGCCACATTTCTGAAAAGATCATTTACAGTTAAAACCGCAGTCAGCAAGTTATTTCCTCACCCACACGCCAAACGCTGTCCCCGCCACTTTGAGGCGTTTTAAGGAATCATAGAATGGTTAGGGTTGGAAGGGACCTTAAAAATCAACAGGACTCCAATTTAATCCGAATTCCGACCAATCTGACGCGCGCTGAAGTTTGTGCGCGGTACAACTGCCTGCACGTGCGTGCACCAAACCTCCCTCATCACGCAGACCTCTGCCCTACTCATTTCTTCACCCAGAGCACACCCATTTAACCTATTTATACTCCTATTTCTTTTCTCACCAGTTTCCCGCGTGGAATGCCTTATGGGTGTACACAAACACGGCTGAAAACTCGCACCGCCTCTTATTAAAATATGTTTCCCACCAACACCGTTCCCTCGAAAAACGACCTTTGGAAAGCCCAGGCACCGCCGAACACCCTGTCAAATTACGTCGGAGCACCCCAAACGCAATTCAACTTCAGGATGCGTTGCTGGATTTTCTC